TTATTATATAATATATAATAATAATGCCTGGCCCAAACTAGATGGTGTGAGTATCCTTTCCATTTCACAATTTATGGTGTTTGGGCTGATGAATAACCCGGAATACCCTTACACCAAGGTAAACAGAGTGCCATCAGGGCTGGTCTGGGGTTGAGAACTCTGTTTATCTTTCATGGTTTGTAAACTCTTCATAGAGATACAGGGCTATTGTGTTGATTTTGGCAACCCAACTAGACAGTGCAAAGAATTTCCAGTCAGTAATAAGAAAATGGACCATCTTTGTGAGGAAAGAGAGAACAGCAAGACCTCTTGGTGAAAAACTCCTAGAAACTTGGTCTCTTGGATAATTACAGGCTGAGCGTTTGGCATTTTATCATCTAATTTTCTAGATAATAGGGAAGTGGAAAGAGAACATGACAAAGATTTTATGAGCATTTGATTCTCTGAAGAATTTTAATTCTCCCAAGTGATGAGCTACCAGTAGGAAGGTTAATCTTGTTCTGAATCATGGTAAAGAGTAGGAACATGTGGCCAGAGTAGGAAGATGTGCAGAGATGGTGATAGTGAAACCACAACCTTAGGCTAAAGTCCTGTATTTCATTGGCTTCAGTGGGTCTTGTCAGTTTTGTTTCATACAAAAGCGATTGTGAGACAGGGTGTGGGAATATGTTTAGAGCCTACTGATTGTAGCTGTTTATTCTGATTTAAATCAATAGTAAGCCTATGCTGCTTCTAAAAACCTATTCACATTACAAAGTGTTTATTTTCAAATTTATAATTGAACATATGTAAAAAAAACCTAAACCCCACTTAATTCCTAGAGTGCATGTGGACTAACAAGTGCATTCAAAAATATATTTTTCCTGTCTGAACTAGAGTTCTCAGATGTGGGACCCTAAACCATATTAAATACTATGTTTTAGTAAAATATCTTTGTCATAATATTGTCAGACTTGAAAAAGAAGAAATCAGAATGTCAGGATGTTCTTAAATGTTTTTCTGAGTCAGTGGGTTTTGCTTGAGGTTGTGTAAAAACTGCAAAAGTCATGAAAATAGATAACAAGGGTGTAATATTATTTTTACTACTAAGTTTTTCAAATTCTTAATTCTAAACTTAAAATGCACTGAACATATCACAAAGGAGACAAAACTTTTGAAGCTCTTTACTTTTCAGCAGGTTCGTAGTCTTTTCCACAGTCAAGTAATTTTTTTCCTTTCTCTTTCATTTGTAGTACATTTATGATAAATGTACAGCTGGTGTTATTGTCAGCATCATGGTTCCAGTACCGTTATTTGTGAAGACAGGTTGAGATTAGCCAGGTTAAAATAACTTCTTTAACCACAACCAGTGTTTTGGTTTCTGGCATAGTTCCACAAGTAGTGACAGGGACACTGATGATGAGGTTGTAAAGTGCTGATATGGCAAGAGTTCATTACTAGCTGAGATGCTGAAAACTAATGATTTATACAGCCACCCTGTCAGCCTCAGCTGATCACAACATCAACTTTTTTATAATGAAGGAGTTCTGAGAAATAATTAAGTAGTGACTTCCTAGTGAGAGACTTAGACCACAGTAGCATGAATGGCATACTGAGAAATGTCATAGTGTTGTACATTATTTTCAGGACTTGTATGCTTCCTTTGAGAAGTCATTTTTAGCACAATAATAAATGTTTCAAGTTTCAGGAGTTGTCTTTTTGTTAAATTTCAGGATCAAACTATGTGGGCATGTTTAGCTGCTATGGCTGTTGCCAACAAAGACATGGCTACAGCAGAAATCGCCTATGCATCAATTGGTGAGGTAGGAAAATGGTGTTATTTATTTCCAGTTAAATTGTTGCAAAACTGATTTTGTTAATTAATTTGCCTCATTGAACTTGTACATCTCGTTAACAGATTGACAAAGTTCAGTATATCAATTCCATCAAAGATCTTCCATCAAAAGAGTCAAGGATGGCTCATACACTGCTGTTCAGTGGGAACACCCAAGAAGCTGAAACCCTGCTTCTACAAGCAGGCCTTATTTATCAAGCTATTCAAGTCAACATTGATCTTTACAATTGGGATAGGTAGTATTTCTTTAAATGCGATATGTTTATAAGCAGCCTTACTGAGGTAACCAGTAAATTATTTAGATCAGTTGTTTTATTGCAGATAGTTAGCTGACTAATTTCCTATCTGTAATTGCCCAGAGCTGTAAAAAGATGAAGTAAGTCATATCCTGACAATAACCAAATAAGTAACTGTTTTTCTGTCATATTTAGAAGATGCAAGTATTCTGTGATAGAAGTCCAAATCATGCTTGGAAGCATTTTTAAATGCCATTTTGCTTTTTCATTATTGTTAACACTGAAAAATCCTTAGCAATACCTCGAACTGTACGTGACCCTCAAAGAATTAAGGCTATTTTGAAATGTCTTGTTGCTAAAAATAGGTATGTGGCTATTCAGACTCCCAGCACTGTGTAGGTGGATAAAATATGAATTAGGACTGAGAAAACAAAGTAGGACTTTCTTCTTTAAACAAAACCTCACATTTTATAACAGAATCTTCTGAGGCCATTTACGACTAATTTCTCTGCTATTATATTGTGGGCAAATAGTTGTTTTTTTCCCCACATATCTGTGTTTTTTATTATGTTGCCTAATATGTATCATCTAAAAACAGTGCATCAAACTTTAGCATTCCGTATGCCCTGGAGAAGAAAACAGATGTGAGAATAATCAATTATACTAATACAATGACTGATCTTTCCTGCCTATAGGATATTCGTAAATGCTGTGTAGCATACACCATAAATGTGTGTTATGACACTGTTCAGAAGCAATTCCTGACTATAATAAAGTTATTAAAAAATATTAGTTCTGCCCCTTTATATTGAGTGCTAAACTCTAACCATTCTGTTTTATTTCCTTGAAATAAAAGGAGTCCTATTGTCAAACTCCAGTGATATGATGAGGTTGTCAACAAAAATAATTGTTGGATGTATTTCATAGCTTGCATCATAGACAGTCTCCTTCTTTGGCTACTTTTAACCTTCTGTGACTGATGCTAATGTAAAACTGCTTGGCACTATAGATTAGGAATCTTTGCCTGCAGCCTAAATGTTTTTCAGTGTATCGTTTTGCAAAACCATGGTGATTGCAGCTGTGCCAGAGCGTTTCTATAACCTGACAAGCCCATTTCTGTTTTATTCCAGGGCTCTAGAACTAGCGGTAAAGCACAGGACGCATGTTGACACAGTCCTGGCTTATCGACAGAAGTTCCTAGAGGACTTCGGTAAAAAAGAAACGAACAAAAGATTTTTGCAATATGCAGAAGGTGTAAGTGTTCCTCAGAACTGTTCCTACAGCTTTAGGTCAGCCTGGTTTTTGTAGACAGCTTGGGATGGTGGGGGGAATTGCTCTTACATTTTCCTTCTTTGGTTCAAATGTGGACACAAATCCTAAGATTTTACATCTGAGTACAAGTTCCTAGCCTGATGTGTGACTACTTGCTAGTAATAGTTGTGCATGTGTTTTGTTTGAAGGCACAGATACAGAATGTATATATTTAGTATCTGGCAAGGATTGTACAAATGAAGGCACAGTTATTTTCTATAAACTGGGAGCTAGACCTTGGTATGGTTGAATATGTACCTCTTAAATGTCTTCAACATTTTAAAGTAATTTTATGGACAGCAACAATAGAAATCTTTGGAGGTATCCAGATGTAGATTAAGAGTGAACTACGAACCATTCTGCCAAATATGACAAATAACTAAATACACAATTTCATCAAACCTCTGGAAATCCCCTACATCCTCAGTAGGTTGTTTCAATTTATTAGCATTTCAAAGATCTTAAAGACTGAGGACAAATCTTACAGTTCGTAAGCTAGAAGTATCTTAGATTCCACTGGACTACTTCTGTGCATTTCCTTTATGAGAAGCACCACATGTACACCTTAGCAATTTAATTGAGCAGCCCTTTTGTCCTTCGTGCTCTTCCTCTCGCTGTTCCTAAGCATTCTGAGGGTGAAACTATGAAAAGAGATTGGCACTTTGACTGAGTCAGATCCTTTCATCCACTGTAGCTGATGGAACAGGAAATAAGTCCGAGCTGTTGGCTCAGATCTTTTAACTGGACAATGCCCATTACGCTTTTGACAGAGCTCGATTTCCAGTATGAATCATTAGCTTTTAGCACTTCTAAGGACATTTCATTTCCTAAGCAAGAATAAAAGTCTACACATTACCTAGCCCTTCAATGAACTGTTCTGCAGTACTTTGCCTTGTAAAGACAGAAAAATAACAGAAGAGATTCCAAGCACTCTTATCATGCAGCAATTTTGGCTGCTACACTGGAAGTATGTCTTCGACATACTTTAAATCCATTATTGAGCAACACTCATGTTAATCCCCTGGTGCTTCTGAAAGAGACTTTTAAAATAATTTTGTCTTGTCTTTAAATCATGAAGAAAAATGTAAAACATCAAGTTTCTAGAAGGGTTCCTAAGCGGTAACACCTGTCAGTGACAAGGTGTGAGCAGAGTGATGCAAGCGGTGCCTGTTTCACCTTACACTCAGTCTTGAAACTTGGGTCTCAGACTGCAGAAGATTCCTGGAGTGAGGAAGTCCTTTTCTGCATCTGTATTCTGGAGGTCTTGTCTTCTGGATCTGAAACTAGGAAGTACTCTACTTAATGAAGTGGCTGTTGGCTACAGTGGTAACCAAATTCTTAATGCAGTCTGTTGGGCTCAAATAGCAAAGTTAGAAGGAAATGTTAAGGGCATTGAAGAGAAAAGTAAGATTTTGTGCTGTTATTCCTTCCTAGGGGAAAAAAAAGGGTCATCTTCTCCCTTTCACCACCTAAAGCTCTTTCAGACTTAAGTAAGGAGTTTTTACCTCTTTCTCTATACTGCAGCTGAGAGCACAGATCTGCAATCAGATACGGAATCTAAACAATGTGCTTAGTTGTTATATCTCACATCTTTATGTATAAAGAATTACGAACCTAGTATGTATACTGAGAATTCATATCTTGGCAGTTACTAGGTGTCCCTGGCAATGGTTGTTGCCTGCACTGGCAAGTAGCTCTCTGGGCTAGATGGCAGAATTAACCCTATATGTGGTATGTTTAGCATCTGTGTGACATCTGTTAAAGCAAACGCGTTCTTTCTTAGAGCTCCATAAAGGTTTTAGTCATCAGATCCAAAGCACCTGGATATCCAGTAAATGTGTCCTGAATCAAGGGACTAACCTTTTCACATGAGCGTGTGGGTATTGCAGTTACATCTTCCATCGTGGAGAATCTTCCTTGTTATTTCATGACTTAGTTAACAGAATAACAGCTACTCTGAAAATTCCCTGTGCAGTAGTTGAGATTTTTTTCCCATCCCAACTTTGACAGTCTTAATTCTCCAGCAGTGAAACTGAACTTCACGATTACATTTTTTGCCCAGTTTTTGTCATGTTTCTATGGTCATCCAGTGCACCATGATCCATTCTTTCTTGTCAAGCATTTTTGGAAAGAAAGCCGACTCTTTTAACCTGCTGTACCATGGATATTTTGCTATATCTATTGCCTGAAGTTTCACTGAAATAGGATACAGCCAGAAGATGACCATTCTCTGTTGCTGGAGAAATGCCAAGATAAAGCTAAAACATTTATTGATGACAAATTTCAAGCAGAAATCTGATTTCTGTTATATCAGATAAGTAGTGTAATATGCTGTCAGTTTACTTGGTGAACTTAGGTGCAGTCAAAAGACATCACTGTGTATATTATTGATAAAGGGCTATATTCTTGGTAATAGGACACAGACGTCATTACATTTAGATTAGACGCAAGTTGATACAAGTTATTTTCATGTTTTAATGTTGGGATTTTTTTTGCCAGACACAATGAGATATATTATTATTTGTTAAAATATGTCAAGCTTGTTTTATTTTAAAGGTGGAAAGCTCAGTTCGTTAGAACTCAACTGTGCCTTCATACATTCCATTAGTGTAAGTTGTCACTTATACACGAAAAACTAGATAATCATTGATATGGTCATTTTGTAATTGTAACTTCAAATTGTCCTGTTAGTGGACAGCTGTCTGTTTGACATGTCTATATAATATTAGTTGACCTCTGCATATTCTCTTTTCTATTTTTACAGCTGGAAGTGGATTGGAATAAAATCAAAGCCAAAATAGAGATGGAAATTGCTAAAGAAAGAGAACGAGCAGCAGCCGGTCCTGCAGTGAGAGCTAGTGTAACTGTACAGCAATAACGGTCCTTTTGGTCACCTTAAGAAGTGCATCTTTAATATTTTGTACTGGCATAAAATAAAAAAAAGCCACAGCAAACATTTTGAGGGGAACAGGAGTGAGAGCTGGTGTAGTTCTTGTTAATTGTTGGATGACAGGCAGGATTACTTGTTTACTACAGTCTCATTTTGAGCTGGGTTTATGTTCTGATCCCCTATCTCCAGTGAGTAGCAACACTGTAGTCCTTAATATATGTATGAGAAAAAAGGGAAATTAACTGTCTTTCCATTAGTGGTTTTTAAATTTTCATTGCCATTAAAATTATTTAACCTTGGTTGCCTCTAAGTACCGACTTCCCGGTTTAAGCACCTAGTTAGTTAAGCAGTTTGGTTATTTCTGCAGCCTCAGGGACCTCTGGCTTCATTTAAATTGCCCTAAAACAAATTTAGCAAACTGTAAGCATTGAAATTAAAAAAAGGAGCTTGCACCTATAAAGTACAAAAGATTATTTCACTCACAGTTACAGTAGTACATATTTCTGCTAGTACATATGTACTAGCAAGTTTAACAGATAATTCAGATTACTTCAGCAACTCAGGTTCGTCACTGTAGCAAACAGTTTAGCAGTAAAGGCTGTTTTCTTTGATAATGTGTAAATTGTTTAAAATCCTATGGAATGTGCTTTGAATGTTTTTTGAAGTACCAAACAACATTGTTGGTTGGTTTTGTGGCATCTAACACGTGTAACTGACAACAATGTTGAGAGCTTCCTTGAGGTTAAAATATCATATCAATTTAAAATAAGAAGAGCTTTCCATGTATTTTTTCTGCCCAAAGCACTTGATTTGAAAATACTGTTTTTACATTTGTGTTATTTCATCAAGATATATTTTTCTTTGTTTTACATAAGAAGGTGGCTGTGTATCTTAGATGTTCTTTGCAGAAGTCCTTTGCATTATAAATACATGAGCAGGTTATCCATAACTAACATTGTATAATATGTATCTTTGAAATGTTACCATCAAAATGTTACATATCTGTATATCTGGCAAATTGCTTCTGTTTTGTAAATCATTATATGACACTTTTTTGCATAGCTCAAAAATTTCTTAATAGAAACAAAAAAAAAGGGGTTTTTTAAAATGTATCTAATGGATGATGCATTAGGTGATCTCCATTGATTTATGTGACTGTTAAATAAAACAACAATTTTGATGTAGCTCATTTGAAGCTCCACAGTATTCTGGTGGACTGACATGGGGCAAAGTGAACACCTTCACCTTCCATTGACTTTCAGAAAGCATTTACTAGTTCCAGCGTGAACCCACAAATATGGCTAATGGCAAGTGTTTCATGTGAAATTGATGAAGCCTGGCTCAGATGTGTAATGCAATGTAAGCAAGTTTTGAAGGCCAGTCTGGTGGTGGTACAACGTTCGGGGCCTCAGCTCAATCTTGCTCCTTTATTCTTGGGCCACTTGGAAGTACGGCAGAGAGCAACTTCACTCCGCTTCTTAAAAATGCCCGGCGCGACAATTAACCATTGCAAAGATGAGGTAAAGCAATGGAATTGATGCCACACTTGCAAAGGTCCTGTCTTAGACTGACTGCCCTCCAGGCTGATGTCGATGGCATTCACAGAGAGCAGTACCGCAGTACTTCGAGCTGGATCTCCGTGTCAGTGTTAATGAGAAGTGTTGTAGTTTGTAGGCACTGGGAAAGGTTTTTTAGTTCCTAGGCCAAAGCACGATAAAGACCTTAAGGTACTTATTGCTGATCACCTCTGTTTTTTTCCATGCACATCCAGTCCTGAACTACATGCTGTGCTGAGCATGTTTGTTTTAAATAGACAAACAAAGAATAAAAACCAAAGAAAACCAAATATTTTGGAAAAGTTCTGTTTGTTCTTTATTTGCACCAGGTTCTAATATGCAGGTAACCTGGTACAATTCCAGCCTTGGGTGTGAAACCTCAATTTCAGAATATTTTCAGAAGAAAACGTTCTTATGTCTCACCTGGGATTGTTTCAGGGTTTTTACAGAGCACAACTGCAATTTCAAGAAAAGTGCCATCTGTTCAGTCCAAGATATTTTTGTGGTAGTTTGGGGGTTTCAGAGTTCTGCATCATATTTGTCTGTACCCGTTTTCAGTCATTTTCGATAGTTCATTTAATGACATCTATTAAGTAAAAAGAAATACCAGAAGGATACAGATGTTTCAGGTATGTTTATAACAAGCTGTAACAAACCTTGCTATCTGCTCCAATGAGCCATTTCTGATGTATTCGGGTAAGATTGGCATATTAGCAAGTGCAAAGTAAGATCAAAAGTACTTTCACCCTACTCATTGTGCTTGTGTCATATTATCTCCTTGTCCAAACCCTGATTTAAAACCTTACAGACTTGTAAATGAAATAGCTCATCAGTGACTGGTTGCGTTATCATCTAGTGCAAGAATACTGATTCTTCAATGATTTAAGAATACCTGTTTTGAAAATACGTAGCACGCTATTTAATTATTGACTGTTTAATTTAAAGCATCATAAACCTATTTAAGAAGTAGGAATTAATGTGACTGAAATTTAATTGTTTTCATTGCTGGTGCGATGGGTCGGTTATTCGAATATAACCCCGATTCTGTCAGAGCAGGATGGGTGTCGTAGTTCAGATGCTTTCAGTTCTTTGTGAGCTTGGCCACAGGGGATTCTCTCTGGTTGTAGGAAGGGAGAGTCAAATGGAAATATGAAAAATGCATCTTTAAGTGAGGGAAAAGTAAAAGCTGAATGTTTAAAAGCCATAATTGAAGTAGGAATGCAATATACTGAAAAAAATGTGTGCATTAGGTAGCACTTCTTTGAACTGTCAGACATGACAAACATTGCACTTAGCTCTCATTGCACGTGGGCTTGGAAATAACGTAGAAACATGCAGAATTGTTTTCCCATTCCCGCAGTGTAAAATGGGACAAACATGATTAATCTGTCTACAGTCAGTCCCCCACCCTGCACTAGAGGACACCCGGTTTTTCTTCCCAGTCTCTGTCCATCGTTCATCATCTGTTCAGTGATGGACAGAGGCTGCAGACTGTTCCCCGGGGACAGTTTTTTATTTATGGTACATAGCAGCCATCACACGTTTGTAGGAGAAGTGACTGATGGGTGCCAATGGTAATTACAATGAAGAGCAGTGAAAAGGGTGTTTTAGGAGCATCCTCTTAGATTTGGCAAAAAAAAATAAATTGGAAGTGCTGCTTTAATCTTGCTTTACACCACGTTTTAACTATCATTTTGGCTTCAGTAATTCCAGAAATGCAAATGGCTAAAGAAACTTTACTCATTTATTACCTCCCGCTTAGTTTTTTTATGGTTTGCATATTTTTAATAGTTCAGAGGAAAAAGGAAAAATACTTTTTGTGTTCCGCTATTTAAGTCAATGAGACTTTGAGACCCACATTAGTCTGTCGGATTTTATCCTTTGGAACTGGAGCAGAATCAAGCTCTGGATCATCTGCCATGAAAACTTAATTTCACAGTTTACATCAAGCCATTTCCTACTGCAGGAAAACAAAACCGGTTTTTTGGCAGGTTTGTGGGCAGGCCACCTGGCAGCGGTCGGCATTGAAGTCCAGTGTGGCCTGTGCTGCACTGGGCCACTGATTTCCCTCAGAGCAGAAGTGATCCCAGGTCACCTTGGTGAAATAAAGAACACGGCACGAGAAGGTGCTAATGTTTTATTAGCAAGCTTTGGAGGTCGCTCTCCTCCATTTGCCTTGCTGACAACTGTAAGGCTACGTACACCTGTGGTGTGACACCAAAGGGAGAGGCCGGATCCCACTTTCCCGCACTCTTGCCCCTGCCCCTGCCACCAGTGGGCGCGGGAGGTGTGAGGATGCTCCGTCGGGCTGACTTGGTGCGGTTCTGTCCGTGCACACTCTCCTGCTGCTTCCACAGACAAGCGAACCTGGCGCTTCTGATCCCCCGGTACATACCCTGGGATGGTGCACCCAACTGCGACCTGCTCCTTCTGTCACCCCACAAGGAGCATGACGTCGTACCCGAGGTGATGTCATTGTATCAGAGGCAATGCCATCATACTGGAGCCAGAGTCCCCAAGTCAGCTTCCTCCTGGACAATTTATTCCTCTTCTTATCCGGCCCCCCCGGGGCTCGGGGGCTGAGCCGTGCTCTCTAGCCCCCCCGCTGCCCAGCCTGCGGCTCCCGGGGAAGGGGCAGGACGAGCTCCCCAGGCTGCTGGTCCCTCTAGCGACTTCGGTGTGTCCCTCCAGGGAGCCCTGGTGTCCTGCAGCCTGTCCCACTGCAAACACCAGCATCCGCGTCCCAGGCACAGTGACACATCCTGCCGTGGCATCCTTTGGGCTGGTCCCTCTGGGACCCTTCTGCGTCCCTTCCAGTAAGCCATCCCGCGTGGACCCCAGCGGTCAATCTTTGCTGGGGACAGCGTCTCCCACGGGAGTCCACGATGTCCCTCCAGGGTGTGTCCCTCCCTGAGACCTCCGTGTCTGGTGCCGCATCCTTCCCGGGGACCGCTGCCTGGTCCTCCGGGGACATCCAGCATCCCATCCCCCTGGGGTCCCCAT